TTAACCACTTTGAACAAATGCCGAGAAAGCCTACTTTACAAGTGGAAAAAAGGTTAATAATCATGTCATCAGACGCTAGTAATGAAAAAAAATAATTAAAGAACAAAGTCCTTGTCAGCAATAAATGTAACAAATATATAGGTAATGGATAGAGAATAAATAATTGAAAAACCGCAATTACTTCTGATATTGGCCATCTTTGTTGATCCAATGTAAACAAGTGTATTAGGAGGTTATCTAACGGATAAATTTAAATAAAACATGGAAAACTGGCGAAAAATGTAATTCTATACGTACTAAAATTAAAAATCTCTCTCCGTACTTTCTGAAGCAATCAAATTTTTCCGCATAAATAGGCCCCGTTTCAAAGATTCGTCTTAAACAAGAAAAGCTCACACAGACTTGTCGTTATCACTCCTCACAAAAATGAATAACGAAATAATGGAAATATCCCCTTTTCAGAGGGTTGAACCAAATGTCGAAAAGGACCCCAATCCATCCATCATTGTCCTCTAACAGTGTAAACCACATGAGGCTTCAACTTTGAAATCTAAGCAATTAAAATTTGATTTCCAAACGAAATGTGCGTTGCTTGGGAGAAGTGTTGAAGGTGAGGACAAGAAGCTTAAGGAGCTGGCATCCAAGTAACTTGTATGTGTGCATCTCGAGCTAGGCACGACAGATACAGAGATGAAGCGGTAGATCATCCTTCGCCGGAAGTCGAATGGACATTATTTGGCCGTTATGCACTGTGTCCAAGATAAGGGTGTCTATCATGAGGATCTCCGAAACCAAGATACGACGATGGTCAAATTAGAGAAAAGATGCGCTTACGCTGTACACAACACCAAAAAATTGCGATTACTTCCGAAGATATGCCAGAAAAACCGAAATTTGCCTATTTTGTCTTTAGTTTTTCCTAATGTTATTCGATCAGATACAAAAAAATAAAAAATCACTTTCTCATTGATACTTTTTGAGCACTACTAGACACCCAGAGATTTTCAATACAACGTTTCGTTTCGGAGGAATCATTATCAACTTTATTTTGTATATGGCCCCTAAAAAAAGTATAACTCTCGCCAGGAAAGATTGCCGGTCACAGCACACCTTGTGTCGATTTACAATCTATGTTTTTCTTAAGATGCGAGTGACTTCCGGAATAGGATCGTGCCAATGTTGAACGAAAAGTCTTTTTGTTCAAAAGTCGCTCACATCTTTAGAAAAACATAAATTGTAGATCGGGATCAAGTGTTCTATGACCGGCAATCTTTCCTGGCGAGAAGTTTACATACTATATTGAGTAGCATTTTTTATTACGAATGCAACGATGTATGGCACACAAAAGTATAAAACTGTTGGTTTCAACAGGAAGATGAACCCACACACAACGCCCTGATCGTGCGAGAATACCTAGCGCAAAAATTTTCGATGTTCCACGTAACGTCCACAGATGATATTGTTCGTGTTATGGCACCAACAATTTCATAAGAATTCCTTGTTTTCGAAAAGTATTCAAGATGTACGCATACACCTTCATCCATAAATAAATGTTGGCACTTATTTGTTCAAAAGTTCTTGTTTTAATCTAGCTTCTAGTGGGGGGACCGATACCCGGGAAATTTCCTTAAATTTCAGTACAGTAATATAACGAGAACAGCATTATTTCCGGTAATATCCGAAATTAAATATTCAGAAGTTTGCTGTTGCTTTATGTATGTATATGAGCCCAATTTTGTCCAAAGAAACCATAATAGAGGATATTAGTTTTGGGAAAAAATTTTAATTAAAATTAGTCACCGATCGACCGTTTTGCGCAGATGCCGAATACTAGGGAATTTTGGTAACGAAGCTAGGGGAGAATGAAGAAGATGACGAGCTATCGTCGGAAGGCATCACGCGTTCCCGGTTTTTATTCTTGATTATTTTGGTGGTGGTGTTTTGAAGGTGTATTTACAGGTAGTAACCATTTTATTCTTTCTTGTACTAGCTAGTTAATCATTGAATTTCTTGCCACAATTTGATATTATTTACATTTTGCTGATTTTGCATAAACTGCGATATCTGAATCATTGCGTACTCCATGTCTTTGTTTAGAATACCGTTATCTGAATAATGTTTGTTTGTTATACTGTACAGGTGATTATACCATTAATTTGTTTTATTAAGTTTTTATTTGTGTATTTACGGGGAGTTGACATTTCCATACCGTTTCACTTGTTTTTTAACATTCTATTATTCCGCATTACTGAAACTTAATTTTATACCAAAATTGATCAAATAAAAATAATTGATGCAGATGCTGACAGCTGCCAAGATCGATTGGGTGATGAGAGTTCCATTTTCCTATTTACGCACACCTTTTTTTAATGGTGCAAATTTAACTCGTGCTCAAGGAAAAAGTTATTTATGAAAATGGCCTATGAGATTTAAATCTTTATCATTTTCTCTGTTGTGTTGTACTCGTAAAAGGTAGTCATGTACTGATTATGACAGAGAGAGAGAGACAGAACTTTTAGTGCGACATTCTTTAAAGAAATTGTCGACCCCTAACTGCAAAGTTCCGTTTTTCCCATATACATATATATATATATATATATATATATATATATATATATATATATATCGCTAAGGGTAGCGCCGATTCCTACACAAAGCGGAAAATCTTGGAGGCTTGGAAGAATATATATTGGAATTCCTGCACAAACAAGTTGTTTGTTTCACCATTTACATTTTTCACATGGGAGTGGCGCGATGCGATTTTGGCTGATAAAGTTTGAATTTTCTGTGAAAACGGCTAAGGGTTTATTTAATTTTGTGTACCACTATCACTTGTAACGAGTGGTTTTATTTCGCGCCAAATTTCATTAAAAAATTCGAAATTTCTTGTCATGATAGTGCAGGTCACCCTGTATATTTCATTATTTGTTCCGGTTAGAAATTTTGTGTTTGGGCATTTCGGTTCGCTCAAGACTATGGTCCGATAGATTTAATTTCGCTCAGATTTAATTTCGTCGTGGGAAGAGTGCAAAGTTGATTGACGTCATCATGAGTAATGCGAGTTTTTGTCGTTCGTTTATCACCCAAGGCGCCGTCTAGACCGAGAATAGGAGCGGATATAGCACCGAGCCATCAAGAGATAAGGGGTCTTCGCTTCGTCAGCAGAAAACCGTGAGATCAGCTTATTCAGCAGTTCCTGGAGGTTGACGACGAAGTTAGAGTGGGTTAAGTCTTCTTTATCTAAACCAATGGGAGAATTTCTAGCGGGAGCCATTTTTGTTTTATGGTAATTTGGGTGTGGTTTTCTCATTTCAATTCTGAAGAAGGGGATCGTTTTTGGAGAGACTCGCGGTTAGTACGTCAAGCGGTCAACACGTACCTTGAGTGATCGTTTTTTGGGGGTACCTAGCGGTTTGAGCCACCGGTTTATTTCGGTTGCTCGCAGTTGCGTGCTTTTTGCACCCGCTTCGAAGTGTTATTTTCTTTTTGCGTTGATTTTTTGGCGACTAAGACCCAGGTTCCGATCAGGTGATATTTAGGCGAACCTTTTGAGCTTCACCCCAGTTTACTTTGGATGCAGTGAATCACGTTAGGATACGTTGTGATTTCTCGAGGATATATAATTCAAAGTGCTGCCCTAGTCCTCAAGGCGCCGATATTCGGGATCCGCCCCAGGTGGAATTTCCTACTAGTGCCGTACGGTCATTTGTCGAAGTAGCGCTGCGTTTTGGAGAGATATTTGCCCCAAGAAGAGCTGGTGAAATAATACGTCGAACCACCCAAGAACAAATCGCGGTTTACCGTCGGATAGTAATCATAAAAATTTGTGTTCTGCCGTGCCGCTAACTCAAAAATCTGTCTCCCGCAGGCGATCAAAGTTAATAAACTCTAAGAGCCGGTGGAAGGAAATAGTAGGGGTCACTGTTTAAATTAAATACACCACTGTGTAGAAACTTTGGCAACTAGCCGTCTCCCACTCGCCACGCGAAGGATTTCCTGGACTAAGCTTCAGTTCAAACACTAAACTTTGCTTTCGTTCCGAGGAAGGATAGGCACCGTGGATTTTGTTTCCGTGTGTTAATTTCAAGCCACCCCCTAGGAAGTCACAGAGACCTAAGTGTCAGGTTTCATCACATCCACCCTGTACCAGAGGAAAGAGCAGTTCACAAGATCGGCTGTACAAATGTTGTAAAGGTTAGTCTAATTAAATTTGTAACGTTCTGTAAAATTCCACTTTTTGGTAAGGAAGCTATAGAAAAAATTTTTGATTTGATTGTTTATTAAAGTCCAATGAACGATTACCAAAGAGTAGGATAAATTTTTGTGTTTATTTAAATAAGTCCCAGCCCACGCTGGAGTAAAAACCGATGACCTGTTGTTGAAATTTTCAAACTGTAGAGGATGGCCACCCCTTGAGTAAATTAGTCTCACCTGGTAGGATTTTTTATTTAGTTTAGTTGTCATTGTTAAGCTAGTGTTTTTACAAGGAGGAGAGAAGAACTGCTAGATCCCTGTAATTTGTTTGTATCTCTAATATCATTTAAATATATTATCTATTTGGGTTCAATGTGCCTATGTCTTTAACGAAGAACGAGGGGAAGGAAAGAGAGGAGTAGGAGTTGAGGCAGGAGACTGGTAGGCGGCAGGTTAAGGTTTGTTACGCAGTTTCAAAAGAGTTAAAAGCCCACCGATTTGAGTTAGCCGGAGCATTTATTTTTATCGATTGAGCAGCCTGAGAAGACGGTTTGCCTTGCCGGGCGGAACCGATGGTAATTTTCAAGTCCAGAAGGAACCCCCGTAGCACACTCCACCTCCCCTTTAAAGCAAGTGTGCTGGGCGATGTAGTCAAAATCTAAAAAGGTAGCATTGACGTAAGCAATTGACGTTACATGAAAGATCAATATGTAAATGTTAATTGAAAATTTAAAATATCTCGCACTATACGCCAAATACTTGAAAATGCCGTAAGTGTGATGAATAGAAATTGATTTAAACTCGATCCGTACACATTTATTTAATAACCAAATAATTTTGCTAATGCTACTAACAATACTATCATTCATAATATACCTAACAACAATATGTCATTACAGCTTTTCTCACACCTTCAGAAACGCCCAGTTTTAAATACTCTAAACGTATAGGTAATTACAAAGTGTTCGACAATTACAAACTGTTTTTTTCGCTCAGCGTAAACAACGCCATTTTAAAAATAATTCATATCCAGCTAATTATAGATCGCGGTGTATTAATAAAAATCAAAAATAAATATAGAAATGTATAAATTATGTTTTAAAAGAGCGACTGGTTGCAAATTCGCTATTTCCGCCGACTCTTGTCTTTGCCAGTTATCCAACTCATTATTTCCTCTTTCAGTTGTCGGTACACCATGACCAGCAATACTGGAATAGCAAAAAGCTCGTTTGTAAAAAAGTACAACCAACAGGCGACGATAAACATCGCGAGATCTGTGATGTAATCCATCGTCGATCGAACCTTCAGTTCGGCACGTATAGTCAAATCGTCCTTAACACTATATCGCGGATCGTCAAATTTCGAAGGTGACGCTTTGTTTTTGGCGAATGGAATGGGCGATATGGAGCCGGGCGAATTTCGACGTACCGCTCCCCCTGGCGGAGTTAGCGAGTTGCGTCGCATCGCCGTCGGGGATGATTTACCAGGACTCGGTGACGGCGCACGTAGGCTGCTCCAATTTTCCCCTCGAGGTTGAGGACTCTTCTTCGATTTCCCACCGTCGGATTTCGCGGTGGGTTTCACCTTTCGCTTGTTTAGCTGGGCGCTACCCCTCCTTTGTATCGCTGGCACACTCTCCGCGTCCGGGCTGATGATGTCATCGTCCATTGGATCACTGGCGAATGCCGCCGAGACCGTTTGCTTCACCTGCTTTAACAACGCCGATGAAACTTCAATAAAACTTGATTTGCGTTCTACTTTAACTTGTCTCTCTTCTTCCGTATCAATTTCAGGTTCGCTAAGCTCGCGCCAGTCTTCCTCCGATTGCCTAGCCGCGGCCGCTTTGAGGTCGTCACAATTTAAAATCACTCTAGGAGTCGGTCTGTTTTTGTTCCCGTAACTACGCACGATATCGCCGTAGTGGTCTACGACCACCCTTATCTCCTCTTCTGCTCTTTTCGGTGGCGAAACTATTGGAGACTGTGGAGGTCTGCTTAGTGGCGCAAAATTTTCAGCGAGAGGTTGTCGCGCAGGTACTGCAGGCGAACTTGTTCGCTTCCGGAACATTTCCTTGTCTTGTCCTTTTTTCTTTGACTGCTTAGCCTGCGGAAATAGAGAAAAGGAACGTGCCTTGAGACTGCCCTCAGAAGCTCCCCTAGCATTAGTGGAAGGCGGCGATTTCTGGCGCAATTTGTTAGTGTCAGTGCTTTTTCTACTGGATTTGTCGGGATGATCTTTGAGCGCTTTTTTCTTTAAAATCGGTTTGGGAACGAAATTTGGATCGGGTAAAGGACTTGGCTTGGTTAGTATTTCAAACGGCTGATTGCTATTAGCTTTGTGCTGTTGTTTAAAACCGGGGTGATACGTATCTTCATCTTCGGGTATAAACTTGCGGTTTGCGGCCGCCCTGTATTCCTGGAAAGAATCACTTTCGGACTCGGAAACACTGTCCTCGTGCCTCTCATCATCCCACTCGGTTTCTTGAACGACCGCCACCGCCTTTTTCGGTTCTTTCTTCTGAGTCGCCATTTTAGTCCTAATTTTCTCAAACTCCTCCTCTTCGCGCTCTTCAGATTGCGACCGTTGGCGTTGGGCAAAACTCTCTCGCTTGCTTTCAATCGACTTTGTCTGGATGGGTATGTCTTCTTCAGCGCTCTTGTTGTCCAACACGATCGGATATCGTCTCAAGGTGTTTTCGGGTACTTCGGAAACATCGTGCGTGTTTTTCAGACTGTGTCGCCTGTAATTCCACGACTGATGTTGCGGTACGATAAGCCCCCCCGACGATCTTCGACGAAGAGAGTTGGACCGCTCCAAACCGACAATCAGCTGATTGTCTTTGGAGTTTATTTGGATCTTCGGTATATCGACCTTACTCGATTGCTGGGTATGTTCCTCCGCATATTCTTGAAATCTCTTCAGGGTATTTTCGTAGAGCAACTCGGACGAACTCACGGAACATCGCAGCGGATGAAACAGCAACTCCTCTGCGCCAAGCTCGGGCGCCGACAACGACATTGGCGGCGCTATACTCTGCTGGTCGAAACTAAAATCTGTTCCCATCGCATTTCCTTTGTCTGAAATGCAAATGTGACTAGGTGCATCCGAAATGTACGCGTCTTACCTTTTTGATTTTCAGGCAGTAACACTAACATGAATTCGGAACTATCGGAAAGAGGGTTGTTTTTGTCTTGAGCTGGGCTAGGAGATCGGCTTCTGCTACGTAGAGGACTTGGAGATTTACTTCGGGTCCTTGGTAAAGGTGACGGCGATTTCTCCTTTGCGATTACTCGCTGCGGAGACTTTCTCGAAGTAACTTCGGTGTATTCGACTGTGGGTCTTTGATAATGGACTACACTAACTGTACTTTTGACAGCGGCATTCGGCAACTTGTCGAGGTTTTGGGAATGATATTTCTTTTTATCGGTGCCTAAGGCCACCCCAAACTGGGGTTGCTCCATTTTTATCTCGGGGCTTCCATACGCTAGATCTCGCGCTACAGAAGTTCTGTCAAGTATGTGTTTAGTAAGGTCCGGATTAATTTTTCGCCTGTTCACCACAGGGGAGGCTTCCGGTGATAAAGTGGGGCTTTTGATTTTGGTACGTGCAGGTCTTTTGGGGATGCCGCCGTCGTAGAAATACGAGGGTGTGGGCGGCTTAGCAGTTTCAGGTCTGGTGGTGGATGAAGATCTTGGTTTTCTTTTTGTTGGTGATGGTGGCTCGTTCGGTATGTCGCGGGGTTGGCTTTGGCTCCGAATGGCCGGTGATAAGATACCTCTTTTGGCATCCGGAATGAAGATTGTATCCGATTCTTCGCTTGGATCGCTAATTCCGTATGGACTTTCTGCTTTGATCCTAAACTTGTATTCACTGCCTTCAATCAACTCCCCTATCGTTGTCGTTAACTGCCTACAAGTTGCTGCTTTGAGCCACACGTCCCAGCCTAAGCGAAAATATTCTACTATATAATTACCAATTTTACAACCACCATCATCAGGGGGTAAGTTCCATGCTAAGGTCACGGATTTTCCCAAAGTCATAACAACACGCACTTGAGAGGGCGGTGATGGTTTATCTGTAACTGTAACTAAAAATGATGACGTGGCTTCTCCCAGACGATTTATCGCCTTGATCTGGTATTCGCCACGGTCGCTTCGTTCTGCCGATTGTATGCGTAAACTCGAATTTTTATCGCTGTTTTCTATTTCGTATCGGTCACTGTTATTTATTGGTTCATTGTTGTGACTCCAAGAAACGACGGGAGTCGGTCTGCCAGCTACCGACACCTTCAGTCGAATGGCTTCTTCCAACTCGAACAGGAGACCGTCTTCGTATTGTCGAGGTAATCGAATGCTTGGTGCAGCCTCCAACGTGAGTTGCGCTTTGGTCGATGCATGGCCAGCTTTGTTCGTGGCTGTGCACTTAATTTCACCCTCGTCAGACAAAGAGCTTTGATGGATTGTTAAGGTACTCTTCTCACTTTCTGTCGCAATTCGAATTCTTCGACTGCTGAATATCTCAAATCCATCCTTATACCAACTGATTTTCGGCGCCGGTTGCCCCAAAAAGTGGGATACGAACTCGACTTTTTCATTCTCTAAAGCGACAGTGTCCGAAAGTTCGCTGACAAATCGAGGTACCGTCACGGCCGATCTCTGCAAGGTAACGGTGAGCAATTCGGAAAGTTCACCCGGCGATGACAATCCGACCGCGTTTTCGGCACTGACGCGAAACTGGTACCTCCATCCCGGCTCAAGACCGCTCAAGCTCAATTCGGTGAAGCGTACCAACTGGGGTGTCGCTCTGACCCAGTGCGGCGATCCATACCGTCGATGTTCAACTAAATAGCCGATGATGGGAGATCCTCCGTCGAAACGTGGCCGATCCCAGCGAATAGTAACGACATCTGGCGTTAGCTCTGGTTCCGATACCAGCTGGGGCTTTCCAGGTGGTCCTGGTCGATCTAAACAAATTGTCGTACATTGGGACTTGTGATCAATCGCATTCTGTACATCTCCATTCAGGTATTGAATACTTTTTGGGGTATAATTAAGCGGTGTGAGTTAAGCAAACGGTTTATTTACCAACTAAAATACAATGTGCACCAAACACAGGCCAATATAATAACGAGAAAACGCGTCCAGAAATAACTTCTCGTTCCGGTCGGATCGAATTATTCGAATTAATTAGTCGAGGGCGTTAGTGTTATTTACAAAAGGTAGCACAGCATTAGGACACACCTCGTACGTTACCTGCTGCTTTCCAATGCACTTGTTTTTTGTGCTGATTTGATCTTCGATGGGGTTTGGCAGATGTATTCCCCATAGCACACTACATTCTGATTTTAATACGGAGCACGTTTCAAAAATAGCATCACATTACCAACTTAAAACCACGCAAATAATGTTAACAAATCGCTACGGGAGCAAACATTACTTTACTTTCTCAATTAAGTTATTTATATAGAGGGAATTCGTAATATTGAGCAGCTTACCGCATTTTTTATTGTGAATATATTTTCAAACGTTTCGTAATCGTCTGAAATGTACAAGTTTTTGCTATTCTTAGACCGTTGGCGACTAATTTCGTCAGTGGTTTTCACTTTCATAGAGTTCAAGCAATGAAAACCCTGTTCGATTGGTTGCCTATCCTTCAGGTTATTCGTAGCACGTTTCAAATCAATAATTACAAAGATCCAAATGAAACAGGTTGCATTTGATACTTTTGTTTTGGTCAATAAAAGCTTTACTGAGCAAATTAACCTTTTTTCTCATATCTCAAACGCATTTTTTTCGTGGATATGATTGCTCACATTGTGTGATGGTGCCATTTTATTGTTGTAATGGTGCAACCCTCGTTGGCGGTAGTTGAGTCAGATTTATGCTTCCTGTTGGTATTCAGAAGATCTGAAAGTGAATCTGTCCTAGATATTCAAAGTTTTGAGCCACTTTCAGATGTTGTACCTTTATCAGGAACCTGTTTCATCCATAATCGTTCAGGTACCCCACTCTCCGTCTCTTGTCTTGGCTGTATCAGCTGTATACAGCTATGATAGTTGTTCCTAAGTACAAATACTTAGAATCTACATTCCTGTTTCATTATGCATATATGTATACCTACCGTCATGAAATAACTTACCTATGTCCTATAGAATTACCTGGAAAAGTTGCGTGCGCCTCTAGTATGTAGCAAAGTACGATAAAATAAAATGAGAAAAAAGTTGCGAATTAAGGTCTTTTAGTGACCTTCACTTAAAAGGCCTATTTGTGCGGTTTAGAAATCATCGCCGTAGATATAAACAATAAATAGTATACATTTAACCAGGTCAAGTTTAAATTGCCCAAATTAGAAACTATTACGATAAATGCGAACAATAGGGTAATTTTTTGAACGCCGGACTTAAATCAACGCAATATGTTAAAGGCGATTGGACTGATAAAACTACGCAATTCGTTGTCCGTCTGCATTCATTGGCTGTGCGGAAATCTTTTTAATACTCGACCATTCATTTACACAACCCAAGATTTTACATCACCATTTTTTTCTCAATTATTTGGATCAACAATGCAGCCCGTCGGTGTTTAGAGTTGAACGAACCAGGGATATCACTACCATTAGTATACTGTACACGATAACCATACTTTGTATTTTTATATTCAAAAAGAGTAGATTCCTTTTAGTGTTTTGAAAAGTGAGTTTTTCATTTAAATAATAGTGGAAAATTAGTGTCTGCGAAAATATCAAGAATAGCCCTTTCTAATTGACCGCAAATAGAGAGTGAAAGGGACGTGAGAACTGGGATACCTTGAAGTTTGCTGTGCAGCCATACTGATGGAGGATCTGTGGAATGCTGTTGAAGACATGGAGGAAGATAAAACTTGTTGCGACCAGATCCCGGCTAATTTCATCTCTCATAATTAGTGCACATTCGTCAAGCGAAAAATGTCAAGAAAATTTGGGATAATCTTCACAAAGCATTTGAAGATTCTGGATTAACTAGAAAAGTTGGTCATGAACGCAAGCTTATAATGCCCCGATCATTATTAGAGGGTTAAATATATTGTTATTGAATTTTGCAGACTATGGTTTTTAACGAAATTAACTTCACCATATCTGGTCGCTTTGAAAGCAAGGTACTTAGGTACCATCGACCGTCCTACATCTGACAAGTTCTGAAGATTTGAAAATTTCTCTGCGTGGATGCAAAGATGGTCATCAGAATCCCTACAGTTCAAATATTGGCGAACGACCATGTCTCTGAAATGCCTGCTTGTGCTTGTGTGAAATATTCGCCAAAGAAGATTCCTAGATTTGTTATTTCTTTAGAGACTATTTGTCCCTGGATGTTTGCTCTAGACCGCGTAAACGACGCACGATGGCTGCTTGTTTTCCTGCACAACTTAAAACATCTTCCTAACCGACATCCATCTACGTGGCCAGCCAAATAAGACATATTGACGTAAGCGAATTCTTTTCTGCTGTTGTCCTCCCTCTCAGATTATCTGTCAAGGATAAAAGATTAGTCACCGCCAGTAAAGAATAAAAGTTGATCGATGTGATTCATGTTTTCTCTAACAGAGAGCTAAATGGTAGAGCGTTGGGGTATAAATCCGGAGGTCGGGTGTTCGAACCTGGGTTGAGGTGAATTTTTCATCTGTGGCAGAGATGGAAATTACCTTCGACCAGTTTCGAGCATTCTATCGGCTACTCCGAATTAGGCTTTCCTGTAGTATTCCTAATTCGTAAGGTAAATAATGGAGTAGTATGGAACAACTTAAGAAATTCTGCAGATGCACCTCTAAAAAGCATTATGCCGGTCACTCTGTAATTGGGCGCAAGCCTGTTGAGGGCCCAGAACAAGAGAGGGCTAATAAATAAATAAATAAATAAATAAACATTCTAGAAGCTTTTTGTTTGTTATATAAGCAAATTTAACTGTGTTTAGTTTGAGTTTATAACATCGATGTAGAAGTCATAAATAATGAAATCCGCATTCAGGGTTAAATTTGATTTTTATAAATATGACTAGAAGTAAAGTCTTTCGTTCTTTAAATATTTATTTATGTAAAAAGAGTCAAGTGGAAGAGCAGAAGTAGGAACTTGGGCAACTACTATCTGAACTTCGCCCTTTTAGTTGCTATTGCTCTCGCGTAATGTACTCATTTGTAATTGTTTTTGTTTACTGAGTTGATAATATGGGTGCAATATATAACCAAATAAAGGTATTATTATTATTAACTGATAAGTAGATATTAATATTAGTTACCCCTATACGTCAATCTACTTAAGGACCGTTTTACATCTAGTTGATCGTTAATAGTTAAATTAGTTCCTGGAAATATTATTAATTAATTTTGTATATATGTATAAGCATTTAAATAAATCAAATATTCATTTAAAAATTTAATATGATATATGTTTTCATAACCTTAATCTGCATTTATAACCACTCGATCTGAAGACCCTGTATATTGCTGCTACCCTTAGCCTTCGGGCCATATAAAAAATAAATGTAATGCCCCACTTTGGGCAACCTAATAATAATGCTGTGTGCAATGGTTCAGCTAAAATTAACCATACACAAAACACCCCGAACCTAGCTAGCTCTCTTATTAAATCTCTCCCAGGACAGATCCGAATACCGGCATAATAAAAGATTTAAAATTTGACTTCAAATTTCCGAATCTAAAGCAAACAATGGCCACCATCTTCCTTACAGTCCAAAAGGATCACTTACCAAATTTTGAAGACATCCTGAAATCAACTTTGGGTATGGATAAACAAGATTGATCATAATTAAGCATGATGCATCTATCTGGATCGTCAAAGGGGTCGAATACACACGATTTGAATAATTTTACAAGATCAAAATTTATTTGACATCTTAATTATCAAAATTGGAACACAACAGCGTCCGTGTGAACATCCCTACATTAGCGTTCAGTTACAAGAAACAAAGTCAAGAAAGTTACAACTCCCAAAAATCCGGCACACAAACACTAATTGCGAAAGAAAACAACGCACTTAACCAAACGTAACGCGATACTTGTTCTTCTTAACTTTTCTTCCGAACAGGTTGCAGAAACGTCGAATTAAAACTTTGCCACCAAATCTTAACGCAGCGTTTTCTAAACTTTCAAAGGACATCGGCTCGGCTTCGAAATTGACAAAAGGTTTTAACGAACCTCAACTCGGCCTCCGAATTGGTAAAAGGCCCCTTATAACGAATCGCAACTTGGCCTCGAAATTGGCAAAATGCTTCTTTTAACGAACCGCAACTCGGTCTCGAAATTGGCAAAAAGCTTCTTGTAACGAACTGCAACTCGGGCTCTGAATTGGTAAAATACTTTTTTGAACGCTAACTCCAGTATTTGACGTGTCTTCCCTCGTAAACAAATCCAAATTTCTCGTTCAATTAACGGAGCGTGGCAACCCGATAAACCAATCAAAACTTCGCTACAGAACGCTCTTTTCAGTCACGTAGGCAAAATTTTACGTGGAATTATTAATTATAATTGTCTAAAATAAACAATTTTGTACGAAAATAACCAATTTTTTCCGATTACCTACATCTTTATCTGTAAATAATCACATCAAACTTTTATAAAAATAAACGAAATGCCCAACAAATTAAATCTGAACTGTCACATAAATGACTTAACAAAAGAAAATCGATAACGAAAATGAGAAATTCCCTAAACTTAACCATTCTAGAAAATAATCTTTTTACTACGAAGCAAATAACTTGGATACCAGCTCGATACCCAATAATCGTTTTGTGTTTATCCGTCAAGAACCCAACCAGCTTAATTAAATCAATTGAAATGAACAATTGATTAGCAATCAACCACTTGTCATTACTTCAGGCGATTAGACCCAAAACAACAACGTCCACATCGACATTGTTTACACAGCAATATGTATTTATATGTATAAGCTTGAACTTGACGCTCAATTTGTATCTTTCTTGTTTTTTCCTTGAATGATGACGATGATGTAGAAATATACAGTACGTTCGAGAAGAGAGCCAATATCTCTTTTATTTGGTGAGATAGAACAATTATAATACAGAGTGGCCCAACGAGAAGTATACAGAGGGCTTTTAAGGTATTAAATTTAAAATGGTTTTTTCCCCAGATTTAAGTCCTTTAGATTACTTCTTGTGGGGACATTTAAAGAATAAAGTTTATGCTACTCCGCCCGGAACATTAAAGGGTTGCGAGCACGTATAACCATAGTGTAAGAATAGAATACACTATGGTATAACTCAACAATTTCGAGCGATTACCCTTGAAATCTTGCAACATGTACGGCAGCGTTTTGAAGCAAATCTTTATTATTGCATGGAAGCAGGCGAAAGGAAATTCGAGCATTTATTGAAATAAATGTTGTGTGTTTAAAGTTATTTGTTATTTTTTGCACAATTTAAAAATTTTAATACAAGGTGACTTAGATCGCATTTAGTTTTGGTTTTTAAAAAAAAAACCATTTCAAATGCGAATATCTCCGAAACGAATCAATGGAATTTAAAAAGCAAAGCAGATTAGTAATCACGATTAAATTGGCTTTCAAATAATGTTCCATTTACCATAGGATTCCATTTAAAATTTTAGGGGTTAAGCTCCCTACGTAGAGGGGTGAAGACTTGGGTTCGTGATTTGTATTCCAAAAGTTGTCCCCCTCGAATACAAAATTGACGTGTTCGAGGATTTTTCGAAATTTCTAAATTTAATACCCTAAAAGCCCTCTGTATACTTCTCGTTGGGCCACTCTGTATAAGTTTACAGCCGTCTAAAACAACAAATTCAAATTGCTATTTGCTGGTCAATTAAACGGCGAATTTGCCGCTTCTTGTTGTGACTGTCGTATCAGCCCACTGTGACTTAGAAAGGTGCACTTTTTGATTTCTAATATAGCTTGAAAAACGAAGGACAGAATCAATTGTATGACGCATTGACTTTGGCAAACATCTGGTATTTAGCTACTCACTGCTCACTGTTATAATGAGTTGTTTTGTCAGCGCTCAAAGGCGTCTGTCACATTTAAGTGTGGCGGACATCCTTCTGTTCCGTTAGACATTGCCAAAAAAGCTACAAATGGTAAATCGACACAGCATAACAATAAAACACAAAAAATACAGTAACTAGAACACATAAATGTAAAAAGTTGTTTATAGACATGTTCTTGTCATTTATTGTAGGTAACTGCAGCAATTTTACCTTGAAATTATCATCGTAAGTGACTAAAATGCCGCAAACTAGATTTATGCTACATGCCTCCATTACCACCATATACCTTAGGGTGGCGTATGTTCACTGAGGCAATCTCCGTACAATTGCTTAGAAAGTTGTTGATTAATTTATGGTAGATTGAATAATACCGTAAGAATTGAAGAATGCTAATTCTTCCTGTAAGGTCGTCGGCCGTTAAGTTTACGTAAAATTTTTACATTGCAGATCCCGCGTCGTTCGCGTGCCACAAAGGCCCCAAATGTGTCAATGAGCTACTTTTCGCATACGAAATTGTCGCATCCATCGCGATGTAGCCGATTGCATTTTGCAAGAGCGAGTTGTTAAAGATTGGTGCCGCGGTACCGTTGGAATGCAGCCTCGAGGCAGACCTGTTGAAGTGGATGTCGAACACTTTTTTCGAGGATGTGATGCAAAGACGAAGAAGTGCAGCGCTTTCTATTTGCCCGATTGCCTATTTTGTTTACTTTATTTAAGCGTGGGCGAAGATTAGATCGAAATGTCATTCTTACAGAAGTCGGTAATCAAGGTAAGGCAAGGTAAGCGTGCCGTGCCACACCACGACGATAACCGGTGGTGGAAGTCCGTGCCTTCTATGACATACTCTGCTGGGTCGACCTGGTGTACGAACTTGCTAGTTTCAATCATATCTTCGGTTGGCCAGCACGGTCGGGGCGGCAACGACATCGGTTGTAACGTGTTCGCGCGCGGAAATATGTAGGTACCTGTGCAGGTGTACGGCTATATTAATTTGTAAGTATTTACTATTTGAGCCAAATTTAAATTTTTATAATCGCCGCCGGTTACTTCTTTACCGTTTTGGTTGTTTTCGTAGTGTAACTTCAGACTCGCTCGCTACTGATATGATACTTTCAAGGTAGCAATTGTTTACCTGAACTGAGTAACTTCCCGGGATGCATTACAACTTTCGATTTACGTTCCTCAATCTCAATGCGTCATTTTCAAACTGTTGGTTCTTTCGTAACAATTTTTTTTTAAATCTGCTGAGTATTTCAGAGTTAGCCTGTTACCCACATACAATTTTACAATTACCTAGTTACTGCGGTTGTGCAAAATAACAATTTTAAACTTTCAATTGTAGCTCATATATGACTTTTTGCTTTAATTTAATTGATACAATTTTACATAGTGAATTGTGCTCAGTTTCTGTTGATTTATCCTCTAATTTCCACATTTTATGCATCAATATAAACGGAGGTATGACATTCTTAATCTAATTTTACAGATTAATGCCCATAACTTTTCGAATTGTATTGAATTTTAAATAGTGAATTGTGCTCTGGTTGTACTCTTTTGTGCCAACTGTGATACGGAAATTTTCATTTCGGATTCCAACTTAAGATATTAAGGAAGATTTTCAGATCGATACCAAATATTTTCGATCTGAATTGTGCTTGTTTTGTGATGATTTGTGATCTTTCAGATCCACGTTTTGTGCGTTACAAATAATAATTTTAATCTGAAGTTACAACTTATTCTTATGTTCCAACATTTTTATTCAATTTTACAGTGAATTGTGCTCGTTTTGTCCTGGTTTGTGCAGCAACTTCTACGTTTTGTGTCTCTAAATTAACGGCTATTATATGAATGTCTACTCTTGCTTTAGTGTTATAAGCCTGTTTACCCGTTTATGCTGTATACACTACCTATGTCTAAGATAAGGATCATAACAGATACTAAGATGGTCAAATTAGAGAAAAGTTGTACAATTAAACATCATGACACCGTTGAGAGATTTTCAATATAACGTTTCGTTTCAAAGAAATCATCATCAACTTTATTAATTTATATGGCACGTAAAAAAAGCACATACTGTATTGAGTATCTTTTTTTATTACAAATACAACGATGTACGATACACAAAAAAAGTTGGAAACGGTTGGTTTCAACAGGATGGTGCACCCGCGCAGAGCGCTTTAATCGTGGGCCTATCGCAAAAAATTTCTGAAAAATGGAAAGTATTTCCGATAGTGATCGGGACGCTCCTTCGGTTTTGAAAGAGTGTCGTAGTGGACGTAAGACAAAGACGAAGGCGAAAGTAGGTTCAGTCTATCATATTTCCACCAATGAAGTCTTATGGAGCTTTCTTAAGGAAATAAATAAATGCATGGCAAATCGAAACATTAGTCGTTCTAGGAAATACGAAAAAAAATAATTCGTGTAATTCCAATTTTTTCGGGAATGTGTGGTTGAAGATCCCCTGATGATTGTGTAATAAAGTCCCGTGCAATTTTGGTGCCGCCGGAGGCTGGGGAGGGGGCTGAAGGTACAGTTTTACGGTTTTTCGGCTATATCCCGAAAATCGGAGGTCGTAGAAAAAAGTTTTTGCCAAAATGGGCATGTGAAATTCCGGCGTACGAACGCCATTAGTGGAAATTAAAAAAATGTGGTACGTTAAAAAATGCCTCTGGATACATAGTAGGTACATACATGCCAAATTTCATTAAAATATCTAAAGTGGTATTACATTCCTATTTTTGAAAACTTTACCACCCTATATCTCAAAAGTTAAGACGTTTAGGACATAGGTTCATATGAAGTTTTCTTTTTTAAATGGACCCAAAAACCGACCCCTTAAATATTGACATTCAATTATGAAACACCCTGTATTCATTATGGCTCGCTCCGCTGGCTGTCTGGCTGATTGGCGCGCTGGTTGGTTGGTTGGCTGTCCGGCTGATATCTTAGCAATTACAATAGTTAGAGAATTTTTACTTTCTGCTATTTCCGTAAAAAAAATGGAGGTGATTTTTTACCCCAGTTAGTCGCGTGTAATATTGGACTATACTACATTCATTAGAAGAAGATAGTAGATGGCACTGTGTTTGAAGATAGGCACACACACGAAAAATATAAAACGGCATAAACTTTGAAAAATAAAAATATAAATCAAACGATTTCACGCTTGGATCTTTGAAATTGACAGCTAATGACAATTGACAGTTCGGCAGTTTAGTTCGTAACCGAAACTTCGAACAAACACAATTGGTCACTCGTTTTATTTTTCAAAGTGACAGACTGTTTTAATTAACCAATCACAGTGAAGATCAAGTCGTCCTTATGCTTTCTACCGCTACCTTCTTAAAATGAATAGAGTATAAGTATCACGATTCCATGCATTTGATCCGTTCTTTTTAAAATATAGAAATATATATAGGTCATATCATTGAATAAAAACACTATTGTATAATACCTTCAAGAAAAATTTCCTGTATAGTAAACGAAGACATTTTTCTAATGTACCGAGAAAAGTTTCAACACTGTATTCTTTTGACAACATTTGTACCAGGAAAAAAAGGGTTCGGAACCAATAGCACATGTTTTTGAACTTAAAAACAGGGACCCGGATCGGACCGAAAAAGAACCGAAAACCGGACCTAAACCGGTATTTTTTTCTGGACCGAAAACCGAACCGAAACCGTTATTCCTTCACAAATGGAAACGTATTGAGAACTGGAAACCATATTACTTTTTTCGATTCTTTTCGGTTTTTTACGGTTCTTAACAGGTTATTGGCCACTACTTAAAAAAATAAAAAAGGAGGGGCGAGGTTTTAGAAAATAAAATTTTCTGTTTTTTAATAGTAAATTAAGTGTAAATACCTATTTCTCTCTTCCTCCTTTATTTCCCTTGTCGTTATAAATTAAATTAATTAAATTAAATAAAACGATACGTCACGTTTTGGTATTCATGACTTCTTTTTCACACCTATTAATTAACTAATCACGTTGTTATATGGAATTTTTTGAATGCCATACTTTCTGAGAAACTAGAACCGAAAATAACCGTTATGGACCGAAAAAATGCGCAGAACCGAACCGTTAGGTATTTCTTTTTAGAACCGAAACCGATATTTCATTTGGGTCCGGGTCCCTACTTAAAAACAATAAACTTTTAAAAATGTTCCCCCTTTTGCAATGCTTCCTAAAATGAAACCGAATAACTTTGCGCACATCGTATTTTGGAACCCACTTTCGCCTGTACTCTATGTCTCTCTCCGTCTTTTTGTTTCATTTTTTTCGTTGTGGTACCACAGGGTCATTTTGTTTCTCAAAACATACTACTCCCATGTGCATTATTCATTATTACCTGTGTGTTTCCATTTCCTTTCTTTCATAAATCATCGTTTGGTTTTTAACGTTTATTCTGTTGTTCGCGTTCTCCTTGCATGCATATTTATTTTGTCCCCTTTAACTTCACTTTTACCTCTTTGTTTTCCCTCAGCGTTATTACATTCCCCATTACACCAATTTTCCTTTTTCACTAATTTTTGTTTTTTCTACACTATTCCTCTTCTTTACCTTTATTATTTTGCTTACAATTTATTTATTTCGTTACTTTTCCAATAACCTTGCCTTCAAGAAAACTCTTGTATACATTCGTAATTATCAAGTTACATTCCGTTTAGTTTATATACTCGTATTATCGTTATTAATGGTTCACGTTAGAATCTGCTCCATTGTAATCTCTACAGTCGAAGTACTTTTTCATGTAGAACCCAAACCAATAATTGCGATGACTTTGCTCATGTAAATCGTGGTACCATAAATATGTTTTCCAGAATCGTTTACAATAGGTAAGTGTAAACAACACACAAAACGTTTAAAACAATTTTGAGAGAATTTAACAATGGCAATGAACGAGTTTAATAAGCTGTTGCAATCACAATAATTGCTGCGATTACCATAATTGCTTTCAATTTATATAGGGACACGTTTTTCTATAGAACTTTACTTTTAAATACCACCATAATTAAAAATTTTGGAAAAATAATTTATCATTAAATAAAGTTCTCAGTAGTCAGAGAAAGAAAGAGAGAGAGAGAGACTTTAACTTTTTAAATCAACTCCTAGGTGTTCCCAAATATTTACGATATTTCGCAATGTGAAATGTGCAAATTTACTTATTTTTATTTATGGAAGACACATGAAACCCAAAAATGTTGACAGTCGACGGCTTTTTGTAACGTTTAATTTAATCGCCACGCCGAATACCTAGGTTAATAAAAAAGTTTTCAACATTTGCCATGTTTAAAAGCAAATGTGGGATTACCCACTTCAGTGATAGAAATTTTTATTCAAAATGGTCCATACTACTATCTCCCAACATATTTACCATTCCTTCTGAAACACCCTGTATTATCCATGCTGAAATTTTATGCATTGCTGAAAATATATGGCCCATTAGCTCAGTTGGTTAGAGCGTCGTGCTAATAACGCGAAGTCCCATGGGCCATTAATTTTTATCATAAATCCTATTTAACAATTTGTTACTGATATAGTACTATGCGATCAAAAATGAGTTGCTGTCGAGTCACCTTTGGAATTTTTGTTTCCATGGGAAATCGTACTTAACTTGAACTTCCAAAGGCGACTCGACAGGAACTCATTTTTGATCGCCCGTTATTTACTCAATGTAGTTCAACTGTTACTTTTAGGTAGTCTCTTAGTACCGTCACCTGTGAAACTTTAGCTGACAGGTATCTTCCGTGGAGATGATTGTCAATACAACTGCTTCCACGGTAGATTTACTCAAAGTTGATAAAAGTAGCTTTTAATCTCATTCCTAAATGACAATTCTTGCACAAGACTCGCTCATCTGCATGATGTTCTAATTATTTCGGTGCCATTCTGAAAAATTGAACCAGCTAAATCTTATCACATTGATATCAAAGGAAGTATTATCGTGAAAATTATTCGGTGGCACCGGTTAATTGTTCGATGTTCAACTGA